TCTAGAAAGTCGCACCGTCTTCGCCTTGTCCCGATTTTCGCGCCATCTCCGCCTTGGTCTGGAAAGTCGTGCCGTATCCGCCTTGGTCAGAAAAAGCGCGCCGCTTCCGCATTTGTCTCAAAAATCGCGCAGTCTCCACTGAAATTTGCGCCGCTTCCACCACGGTCGCGAAGAATTGTTTCTTGGTCGCGCCGTCTCCGCTTTGGTCTGGAAAGTTACGCCGTCTCCGCTTTGTCTGAAAAGATGCGCCGTTTCCACTCTGAACGCGAAAGTCGCACCGCTGCCACCACGTCACGAAGGCTTGACTCTTGGTCGCGCCGTGTCAGCCTCGGTCTGGAAAGTCGCGCCGTCTCTACATCGGTCCCGAAAGTCTTAAAACTGAAATTTTTGGACGCGCTGGCCAGGTCGGTCGCGCCGTTGCTTTTTGAGTCATGCCGTTTCCTGAGTCGCGTCGTATTCACCCTGGTCGCGAAAGTCGTGCCGTCTCCACCTCGGTCGCGAAAGACCTGAAAAACTTTTTCTTAGTTGCGCCGTCTAAATGTTGGTATGGAAAGTCGCGCCGTCTCCATGTTGATCCGGAAAGTCGCGCCGTCTTCATCGCGGTCTGGAAAGTCTGGAAATGGCTGAGTTTCATTACGCCGTACTCGGCGTTTCCTGAGCAGCAGTGTCGCGCCGTCTCCGCCTTGGTCGCGAAAGTCGCGCCTGAGTTTTTCGGTTGCGAAAATCTGGAAATGGCAAATCTTGGTCGCGAAAATCGGGACATACCAAATATGAGTTGCGTTGTTTTGATCGCGCCACCTCCGCTTAGGTCGCGAAAGTCGCGACTGATCATCATGGTCGCGAAAGTCTGGATATGCCTAACTTTGGTTTGTAAAGTCTGGACATCCCAACTTTTTGTCGCAAAAGTCTGGACATGAGTCTTGGACCTCGGCCCGGAAGGGGCAAAGCTCCTAGGTCTTTTCGGTTATATTCCCTCTAATGGTGAAAAATGAAAATGCAATTTTTAACCGCAAAATTGAATCGTTATTAATTAAAAAAAAAGCATTTAATTCGCATTTAATCGTCTTTTCGTATTTTGTGCCTATTTCTAAATCGATTCAATGAGCGGTATTTTTTCTTATTATATAACCCGATATACCTAAGCTCCTTTGTTAGATACTTTAATCCTGTTATTATGCTGAAAATTTACAATCCTAGAACATCTCCGATCAGTGTTTTTTTTATATAATAATTTACACTGATTTGAGTTATTGACCTCATTGACCTTGAAACATGAGTGACATAAGTGGAACCTTAGCTAAGTTCTGTGAGCTAACCAATGATGGAAGCTCTCGTTTTACTCTTTCACATTTAGAACTGTGGGACACGGCTGGACTGGAAGAGACCTCTATCGTACACTAACACGGATGTGTTCGTCCTCTGCTTCAGTGTGGACAGTGTGTCTTCATTAAGGAACATAGAGAGCAGGTGGATGCCCGAACTGAAACACTACTACCCGAAGTGTCCATATGAGTCTCCAGCAGCAGTAGTGGCCGCACTCAAGGCAAGTCGGAACATACTGGGAGTTTTACTATTATAACACCTCAACTCACATCCACCGCCCCTTAGGCTTGGTAGGCATAATTGTACGGAACAATTTTCACTTTGATGGGGGTAAGCATTAGACTTGGGGTTAATGATAAGGAGACGGGTCTGATCCAGATAATGAACTTAATAGACAATTATGAGTGACAGTAAAACAAACAGAGCGTGAGCAAGGCACGCAATTAGAAGAAATTTTTTCGCCGAACTTCGAACCACAATTTGTTAGAGCAGTTAGTCTTGTTTTCATTTGATTTGAGGGCAAGCAAGTTGTGAAACAAGTAATCGTATACCACAAAAATGTCTTCACTTTGTTTGTTTCACTCGTTATTGATTTCAAATTCTACAGGGTGCTTTCAAACCGTGTTTTTTTATAATCATCTTCAAAGCGAGTTTTTTTATAAATCATTTTTTATAAATCAAGTATTTGGTTTTTGAAATGTTTTTTTTTTCGCAGTACGCACCAAAAGCTTGGCGAATTTGGATGATATAGTTAAATAAACTGGATTGTTTCTGTTCACACATTTTTTTCGATTTCATGAGTTTTTACTGCGTTCTTTTGCCGATTGAATTATGCCGAATTAAAGCAACCTGATAAATCGAAAAAAAAGCTGTGCTTTTAAACCCATTTTTCTCAAATTCGGTTATATTTGGCCAAAAAAAAGAAATTTTACCAGCTTTTAAATGTTAGAACTTTTTTGAACAAAAGTTACACCCCTAAAACGAGTCAATTCGTTTAATTCAAAATTAAAAAGGTAATCGGGATCAATTGATGTAAGAAATAACTACAATTGACTCTGTTTTCTTCCCTAAGTTTGATATAGAAGAAATGACTCATTTTAAGGGTGTAATTTTGCTTCAAACTTCGCGAAAACAATTGCACCATAAAAGCTGGTAAAACTACAAACAGAATTTTTTTGGCCAAACATAACCAAAATTGAGAAAATGAATTAACAAAAAACAACCTTTGGCCAAACCTTGTTGCTATTGCAGAAAAAATTACTTTAATAACTCAAATATTTGTGAAACGACCCAGGTTGACCTCCATACATCGAAAATGCTTATCATACAGTTCCATACAACAAAAATCTTTATCATACAATTCCATACATCAAAGTATGGAAAAAAGATTTTTCATACAATTTTCATCCATTTTCGAAAAACAAAGCAAAAAAAATTATACCATTCCTGCGGCTTTTTGAAAACAGTTGAACAGACTGGTGACAAAAAAATTGAAATAATTTTTTTGAAAAAAATGCTTGCCAAACAATTTCCATTTATGAAAATTGTTTGTTAACCGTTTTCGCCATAGGGGATCAATTTTTGCAAACCAGTTGTTGAAAACTTCAAATGATTTGGTCCTGAGTGGCGTTTTCGGGTGGGTTATTTTTTCTTGTGAGATGTCCTCCGATTAGACTATAATTACATTGTTTTATGGTCTTTTTTATATCATCTATGTATCATCTATGTATCATCTATGTGTCATCTATGTATTATCTATATATCATCTATGTATCATCCATGTATAATCTATGTATCATCTCGAAATCAAATTTTTTAAAGTCACCAGCATAGCAGGAAGTTTGCATTCATAATAAACTAAATTTTTGTCAACCCGGGGAGAGAACATTGATAAAAAAATGACGTTTTGAAAACACCCTGTATATCAGACCGGTCTCCTTGTCATTCATCAGATTTTGCGCTATTTGGCTAGAAAAAGAAAGAAGTTTTTGTTATAGCCCCAAAGTTTGATTACATATGAATATTGCATGATACCGCATGTGGTCGTGCAATAAAATTGTAAGCAACAGATGTTATCAGATTTTTAACTGGAGTTTTAGTATTTACTTTTTCATTAATCTATCCCCATTTGAATTTTCCAATTCCCTTTTGAATCGGATTTTTCCGATGACAAAGTTTGATCACCTTGCTATAGATCCTGATAGTGATACTTGGTAGTAGCGGATTTAGCGGAGCGCGCGCCGAAAAAGCGCTATGTTTTTGGTCAAAATTGTTCAAAAAGCCTAAAAACGCTTTTTTACCTGTTTTTTTTTTCAAAAAATCGCCTGCAGCACAAAAAATAGGCCAAAACAGGGTCTTGTAAATGCTTTGGGAGAGCTTGAAAAGTCAATTTGATGGTCCTAAAAAAGTCGAACAGTTTTTTTGAACAACATTTTTAAGCCAAAAGCAACTGTTAAGTTTTGAATATACTGCAGTGTTTGAAATTTTCAGATATTTGTTTTAAAAAATTGATCATAAAACTTAATTGGTTATAGCCTAATAAAATGGAGCACTTAATCATCGTAAATTTGCCATGGATTCAAATTTATCGGGCAATCATCAAAAATACGCAATGCCTAATCCGAAAAGTTTGAATTGATTTTCTGTTTGGCAGTGTTACACAATCTGTGTTACATAGTCAGAAGGATTAGATGCTGCATCAGAATAAACCATACAAAATGGATGAGCAACAAAGGCCACATCTTTTCAGATTTCAAATCACATATGAGTAAAAATATTGAGTAATTGATTTGGAACTTTAGCAGTCGTAGACCATTTCAAAAATAGTTTCCTAAGCGTATACTGGCCCTCATAACAGACTAACTGTCCCAAGTAAGTGTCCTACAAATTTATTGAGGTAGCAAAGCTTGCTAGAGCCGTCTAATGAGCTCATGACATATAGAAACAAGGATAGCCGGTTGCTGCCCAAGTAGCATAGAATTTTCCGGCTCTAGTCTTAAAAAATGACACTATTTTTTTTTTCATTTAAGCTCCTGCTACAAGGAGCAAAATTTTTCATTTTATAATTCATATGGCGTTATGGCGTATAGTGGTGATGATTAAAAAAACTCAACATTTTTTAAAAATTTATTTTCGAAAAAATTTATCACTTTTTTTCTAAGAAAACACTGTTTCATAGACCTTAACGGAC